CTACACACAAAAGACCAGCTAACGACACCCATCAAGCACAGTGACAGATAATCTCTCCTCCTTATCACAACAATAGACCCACAACAAAAACACACTGATCACCATTATCACCCATCTCCTGAATAGGACAAAAGCTAACCCACAGCTATAAATACCCAACTCTCCAACTAACTGCACCAGAGCACAGCGTGCTACTCCTGTCCTCTGAAGATGCCGGCCACAGAGACTGGAGAAACGTTAGGAAGAACAACCTTCAGAACACGGCGAAAGAACCTGAAAAACCCACAACAACCATTAGATCCCGGCCGTGAAAGTCTTCGCGAATACATTTTCTTCCAGCTTTTTTCCCCCTTCTCTATTCTCTTTTGTTTGTTTGTTCTGTTCTCTTCTGTTTTTCTTTTCTCTGTTTTTGTCCCACTTGGCTAGTGATATTATTATGTGTTTAGCTTTATTTTAGTGCTTTCTCAGTTGTTTTGTTCTTTTCTGCTTGTTTTGTTTTAAATGTTCTCAATGAAAATTCAGTTAGTGCATCATAGGTTCTGGGCTTGGCATTCAGTACTTTACTCTCTTCACACGGCACCAAATCTGTTTCTAGAATCTATCTATTTATTTATTTAAAATGTTTTTACCCCGCCTTTCTCCTTGAAAGGACCCAATGCAGCTCACTTCATTAAAAGGACAATATGCAAAAGCTAAAAAACAATGTGTACAAATATTAAAGAAGAATTAAACAAGCATCCTATTAAAATGGTAAATAAAATTAGTACTAAAAATTTTTAAAAGCAACAGAGCACAAAACTCCTCTCAGATGGGCTTTTCCTCTCACTAAAGAGAAAGGTCCTTGCCTGCTTGCGGAAGGACTGCAAACCTAGAGCTAACCTAGCTTCCTGTGGGAGGGAGTTCCAGAGTCTGGGAGCAGCAACAGAGAAGGCCCTCTCCTGTGTCCCCACCAAATGCATCTGTGATGGTGGTGGGACTGAGAGAAAGGCCTCCTCTGATGATCTTAATGCTCGGGCAGGCTCATAGAGGGGGATGCAGTCTTTTAAATAGCTTGGACTCAAGTCATTTAGGGCTTTATAGGTTAAAAACAGCACTTTGAATTCTGCCTGGAAACAGATTGGCAGCTAATGGAGCTATTCTAACGGGGTGTTACATGTTCCCTGTAACCAGGCCCAGTTAACAATCTGGCTGTGGCCTTTTGGACCCTCTGAAGTTTCTGAACACTTTCTAGAGGCAGCGCCATGTAGCGTGTGTTACAGTAATCCAAACAAGATGTACCCAGGGCATATGTCACCATGGCCAGATGAGACCTCTCAAGCAACGGGCACAGCTGGCACACTAGTTTTAATTGTGCAAAAGTGCTCCTGGCCACCACTGAAAATCTGGGCATCCAGGCTTAGAGATGAATCCAGGAGCAACCCCAAGCTGTGCATCTGTATTTTCATAGGGAGCGTAACCCCATCCAGCACAGGCTGAACCTATCCTTATTTACAGCAAGGTTTTTTATTTTCTCTGAATGGCATGGCAATTTGATATCCAAAAGATAGCTTCTTCCCATATGTTGTACTTGTTAGGCCAGAAATCACTAGATGAAGCCCTACTCTGATCAGATATTTGGAAGGTGGCTTGAAAGCAGAAGGCCTTTTCAGTGTTGGCCTCCTGGTTGTGGGAAAACCTCTACGAAAAGTTTTAACAGGTGCTTTTACTGTAGCTTAAGCATCAGGTGAAGACCTTTCATTTTCAGCTTTCAGTGAGGACATCCATTTCAGAAAGCAATCACTCAACCCAGTAGACATATCTTCTCAGATGGTAATGGAAATCCATGTTTGGAAGTTTGGTGATATTGATTTCACAATGACATGCATCCAGCTACTACTGTTAACACAACAGCATTCTTAGACTACATTGTTTGTAAGACAAGGGCTCATAACATATATCGTCAGCCACGTTTTTTAAAAATATTGATTCATAGTGGAATGAATGAACTATTGAGTATGAGGCCAGAGGGAAAGGACCTCGCAGGGCAATTTACATGGAAGTCTTTACAGAAGAGTCCAGCAAATGTCTAGAGCTAGCGTTCTTAAAATTACCAGTGTGTCCAAGTGGGGCTTGGGGTGAACCAATTCTGAAGTAGTATTTAAACTGAGAATTCAGTAGTTCCGCTGTAGTGCTTCGTGTTTTTAGCTTTTACTCCTCTGTAGATCTTTCTGGACAAACTTCTTCAAACATTTATAAGATAATTTATAATTGCATTTTAATCTCTATAGCTCATGATGATGTCTTACTGAATTTTAACTCTATGTGGATCATTTTAGAGTTTTTTAAAATTTGTCGTTAGATATTCTAATTGTAGTTGAAATTATTTTAATCCTTGTCACTAACAACAATTCCCTTAAATTGCTGTGCTGTCATTTAGCCATTTGTTACTGATTTTTTTTCATATAAAATAGTTTTAATTTTTCCTTGATCATAGGGCATCTAATAACAATAAGGGAAAAACATTGCTGCAGTTTTTTATATGCATAGTTATACTTTCCTCCCTTTTAACAGTGCCAAGGTTTGCTGATACCAAAGGCTACCTGTACAGCTACAAGGGACTCATTTTGAACGGATTTGAAAAGGGCACTTCAGCAAAGAGTGGTTTAAAAATGACATGTCAAGTAAAGATCAGCAGAGTGTCCCAGGAACTTCATGTTCTTAAGGTAGCTATTACAATAATTACTAATTTTAGTTATTAAGAACTATCAAGATAACTTTCTTTTTGAAATTTTCTAGAGATAGATAGTTATAATGAATTATTACGGAGAAAATACTATCATCTATCTGATAAAGCAGACTGTATTTCATAAAAGCATATACAGTGGTGCCTCGCTAGACGATGATAATCCGTTCCACTGAAATTGCTGTTTAGCGAAATCATTGTCTAGCGAAAAGCATTTTCCCATTGGAATGCATTGAAACCTGTTTAATGCGTTCCAATGGGGAAGAATCATCGTTGTCTAGCGAAGATTGGCCATAGGAAAGCCGCTTTGCGAACTGCCGATCAACTGTTTAAATCGCTTCTTGCGAATCTTAGGTCCCGAAAACACCTGTTTGCGAGCGCAGAGGGAGCTATCAAAATCATCGTCTAGTGAAAATCGGTTTGCAAAGCAGCGACCAAACATTGTCCAGCGAAATTCCCCCATAGGAATCACTGTTTTGCGAATCGTTATAGTGATCGCAAAAAGCCAATGTCTAGCGAAAAAACTGTCATGCGGGGTAACTGTCTAGTGAGGCACCACTGTACTAAGTGAAGTATGTTTGTCTTTAAGTTAGCCATAGTTTCTTTGTTGTTGATAGCACAGTGGTAAGTTCCATTTTGACCCATCATTTCCCTGTATGATTCTCCCTCACTAGGTAGAAATATTCTAATTGAACTTAAATCTTCACCTGTATGTTTTCTTAGGTGCTCTCTCCTCAGTTGGAAGACTTCAATGGTATCTGGCGCAAGGATCCTTTCACCAAAGCATCAAGAGTCACTGAGAGGATTGGTCTATGTTTTACCCGAGTATATACGTTTGAATACAAAAAAGGTCAAATCATAAACATTCATGCCCCTGAAGATGTCTCTGTTATGTGTGTAAATATAATAAGGGGCATCCTGAATTTGCTGCAGCTGACCATAGAGGAATCACAGAATGTGTATGAACTTCAAGAGGTTTGAGATTTTTTTTCATTTAGTTTCTAAAATACAAATAATACAGTTCTGGATTTCATAAATGATTTCTCAGGCACACCACCTTAAAGGGTTCAGTTGGGTTTTCTATCAACCAGTAGCAGACTGTTGTTTAAAAGGATGTGGGGCATCACTTAAGTCCTGTCTGTGATTTTTGATAAATGACAGGTTAGAAGTTATGTATGGGCCATCAACTTCCCAGCAATCTGCTCTTAATTGATAGTCTCTACTGTATCAGCTTTTGTTGTGGTCTCTGGATTAGAAAGTGCCAAAACCAATGTGTTAGATATGCATTTCTTACATTCAAGGCCCTTCCGGGAACAATAGTGGAAACCATTTGTACAGATTATCATGTGAGAGGGTCACATGTGCATGTATTTCTTTGGGAAGCCAATGCTGATTCTGCTTGCTAGCATGTAGACAAATAGATATATATTCACGTGTGATTATCTGATAAAATGAGCCGCACCTGGATTTTTCCATGTTCCTGCAGGGAAGTGTTTTCCATTAGGGATCTGTACAGTTACATTTAACATGGCTCTTGCAGAACAGTATAATCCGGGAAACCGACCAACCAGCTAAAACTAGGCAGGAGCCTATCTATCTATGGAAACTACTTTTCACCAGTTCCAAATCTGATGATTGGTGAAATTTCAGATCTTGGAGATGAAAGCAAAATGCTTGCTGTGGGAGTTAGTCCTTGAGAAAGTGTATCATAGGCTTTGTGAACAAATGCACTCATTCTGCCCAAACCCCAGTTCAGAAAACCAGTTTATCCCAAGAATGCCCAAGTATTCTATGCCTGTAGACCATTCCTTGGCCACAATACTTTATTTTTTACTGTTGTTCCCATCAGAATTTGGAACTGTTATCATAAATAATAATTCACTCTTTTATTGTTAGGCTTTCCAAACAAGGCATTACCTATTCCCATTACTAGAAGTAGCAAGCAATAAAATGCATTAGAAATGCATTTTGGGACAATGCTATTTTATTTGAGCTAAATGCAATCAGCAGCTCATGAATGAGAGGTGCCACAACATATGCAATTTCCTGTATGCACCAGCAGCTCATGAATGATAGGTGGTTTGCTGCCACAACATATGCAATTTCCTGTATGCAGGGATTAACCACTGATAGGTATCTGGCCCCTAACACACAGGTTCAGCATCAGATGACTTCCCCTTTGTGATATGACCTGGCTCTGCATTTTTGGTGTTTTGGACTCTTGAGGCAACTACACTTAGCATGCTTTGTTCATTCCTTATTTCTCCTTACTGCAAATAAAGTTTGAATAATGTGATTTAACAGGGGATGCAGGGAGGCAGATTTGTGGAGAATATAACTTTCCTACAGGGATAGTTGTGATTTTCTGATATTTCAGAGCTTAGATGTTGTGATTTACTTAAGTTCCATTGACTTTTGCAGGTAGGAATCAAAGGCACTTGCCTCACCAAGTACTTTATCCAGAAAGACAAGAACAAGAACAAATTCACTGTTTCCCGAACCAAAGACCTCCAGAACTGCACAGCTGAAGTTGTGAAAAATATTGGAATGGCCTATATCAGGCCCTGTCCAACATGTCCAGTGGTAAGGAGCTTTAACTGTGTTGCTGGAACTTGTGGCAGGGGATTGAGTTTCTAACTACAGTACAAGAATCCTCTTCTTAGCAAGACTAGTATCTGGGAGTTGTAGTTCAAAAAAGTAATTTCTCCAGATTGGCAGCATTATATAAATAACAAAGGTATCAGTAAGGTACAGATTTTTCAACCAAGTTTGTTTTTGAAAATATAAACCAAGTTGATAAGATGCTAAAGGATCTTGTCTTATTTTGAAGCTAACCTTGGATGAAATGCAAGGCGTAAATCAGAGTGGAAGCAACTACAACGAGTTCTTCATAAGTAAATAGTTTCCCCGGTAGCAAAGGTATAACTCCAGTTTATTATCACTGGATGCTGATGTTCACTTCTTTTGCAGTGCTATGGTACCTGTTTAATTATTTTTATACTTATAGGCTGTGGCCTCTTTAAACACTGGAGAATATTACATGGCAAAGTCTCCTTCTATGTCTCTAAATCTACAACTATAGTGTTGAGGTGATGATGATGATGATGATGATGATGATGATGATGATGATGATGAAGTGGATTAGAAGAGGAGGGTTTTTTGCACCACTCACCAATAGCTTATATTATTCACATTTTAAAAAAACTCTAAAGGAAAGTATTTTAGTTACTTAAGGTAAATAAACAGGAAAGCAAATAGTTACTTTTAAAACATTGCAGTTATACTAAGTGAATAGTATAGCTGGACCTGGAACTTGAACTCATTATTTTCCAAGATAATTTTTGGAGCATAAACAGCATATAAATCGTCCCTGTCTAACGATTTGTCTTTTTCCACCATACAATTAGCTACATGCAGAGGGTATGAGTTGGGAAAGGCTGATATAAAAAATTAGTGATATAAATGTTTCTAAAATGAATGACAATTGACATACCTGTTCATTCGTTTGCTTGAGAGATGCATAGAAAAATATAGGAATTAATGAGAGAAGTGAATGAAAGAATGAAATCCTTTTTTCTTCATTTCTCTATTTTCCCCTCAAAGAGTAAGGCCATAGAACCAATAAGAGACATGGGTTTGCATAGCAAACTGATATCTCTTGAAGTTGGAGGAGATAAGCTGGTGTCTGCTCTCATAAGAGGTCTCCTCTCCTCAAGCAGTGTCCCCTTTGGTCTCCTGAAAACCTGCACCAAAGGATTATCAACCTTCCAGAACATCGAAAGCATGCAAATGCGAGTAGATAAATAGGGACCACCTCGGTAGGAAGGTAAACAGCGTTCCGTGTCTAAATCACACTGGCCATGTGACCACGGAAAGATTGTCTTCGGACAAACGCTGGCTCTATGGCTTGAAGAGCGGGATGAGCGCCGCCCCCTAGAGTCGGACACGACTGGACAAAAATTGTCAAGGGGAACCTTTACCTTTACCTTTAAACAGGTACTGAAAGAGTCATATTTTGGCCTACAACTCTTAGAACTCACAGCTTACACGGTTAGTGTCCATGATGAATGTTGGATTCTAGGAGCTATTGCCCAAAAGGTAGCCATTCTGTTCCTTTGTATGGGAAGTGGCAATGAGGAAGGGAGAAATGCCTGCTTCTTGTTTCTGCTGTTGAAAATAGTTCCATCACCACAATAAAATAAAAGTTGGGCTTCTCCCTTGGAGTGCTCCGAAAATGGCAAGACTTGAAAATCCATCCGAACCATGAACCAATGGCAAGTTTAGAGTATGTAACTGCTTTGATGAATTGTTTATAAAATGAGGGCACTTTGTTCATTTTTTTAGGGAAAATAATACTGCACAGTACCTGACAATTTCATGTCTCCTGGATAGAAAACACCAAAATTATAAGAATCAGAAGTCAAGCTGTTTTTCTACTTTAATCAATGTAGGAAATAACTCAACTGAGAAGCTAGAAACCAATGGAAAAAATAAGAAAAGAGAAAGGCAGCAAATGCAGCAAATGAGGTCATACCAGATACAAAAATGAAGTACAGTGGTGCCTTGCAAGACGAGCGCTCCGTTTTACGATGAAATCGCATTATGACGAAGTTTTTGCGATCGCAAAAGCAATCGCAAAACGATGTTTCCTATTGGGGAATTTCGCTTTGCGATGATCGGTTCCCTGCTTCGGGAATCGATTCTCGCAAAATGATGATTTTCCTACAGCTGATTGACGGTTTCAAAATGGCCACCTCATTAAAAAAATGGCCGCTTGCTGTTTTCTGGGACGGATTTCTCGCTGCACGGGCAGCGAAAATGGCCACGCTATGGAGGATCTTTGCTGGATGGTGAGTTTCAAGCCCATAGGAGCGCATTAACCGGGTTTTAATGCATTTCTATGGGCTTTTTAATTTCGCTTTACGATGTTTTCGTTCTACAGTGGTTTCGCTGGAATGAATCAACATCGTAATGTGAGGCACCACTGTAAAGTGAACTAAATGAATATACATATTTTTTCAAGTCTGCATCCCTAAACAGGAATAGTTTGGCAGTGGCTATTGTTCTTGTTGTCCAAATAAGTCTATTGGTGTTTTTCAGATTACTACAAACACGAGAAGGACTGTGACATTCAACTACAACTTGAAATATACAGATACCGGAGCACTGATCACACACGTTGAATCGCAGGAGGTTCATGAGATGTCCCCATTCAATGACCTTAGTAGTACTACTGTTATGCAGGCAAAGTATGTTGCCTTATGAGTACCGTTAGAGCAGAAGTGGGAATCAGGCAACCCATGGGACATTTTTGCAGCTTCTGCAGCCCCTAGTTGAGCATTATTATTCCCACCCCAGGAAAGGTAATTCCAGATAGCATGATTTCCCTCCAAAACATGTTGTGCCCCCACACACCTTGTTTTAGCCAATAATAGGCTTTTGAAGCAGGGCATTTTTTCCTAACCCAGAATGGGGCTGCTGTGGTTCCAGATGATCAAGGGACCAGAAAAATAGCCCCCCTGACCTCTGGAACCTCCTCACCCCTGCATTAGAACAAGGGAGATGTATCAAAAGAACTATGAGCTGGTTTATACATGCATGCACATCACCTGAGTTGACTTCCATTGTTGACTGGCAGCTGACCATGTGAACTACACAAAAGCACTGTGTTGAAGGTCACGTGACATAAAATGGAAGTTCTATATTTAGTGCTTGAGCTTTGATGGCTCGTTCACACGTGAAGAATTCACAGAGTAGTCATCAAGTGAAGAACAGATTAAGGATACAACCATCCTCCAGTTATGTCTTTGTTTATAATTTGAACCACTTTTTTTATTGTGGCCTTTCCTATTGTTTTGGTGTAATGCTGGACCAGTAAAAAGAAAAGGGATTCCTAAACTAACTGATACTAAATTAATCAGTCCTCTGGACTCTCTGATCTGAGGGCATGATGATATTCACCCTCCTTTTCCAAACTAGTACCATCCACATGTGTTGGCCTACAACTTGCAACACAGCCAATGGCAGGTGGGTTGAAACCGATGTAAGATATAGTCAAACACATCTGGATGGCATCAGATTGGAGGAGGCTGCTATTGACCATAGATTTCTATCATTTAGATTGCATTTCTGTTCTTCTGCAATTTATGGCTGAAATCCAGTATTTAAGTTGCTACTAGAATATGGCCATTGAATCAGTGGAACCGACGTAAGTGTTAACTCACCAAACCTCCTCTGATTCAGTGGACCTACTCTAGTTGTGACGTCAGTGGAACTAACGTAAGTGTTAACTCACCAATTCAGTGGACCTACTCTAGTTGTGACTTACTACTCGACTTCAGTCCTATAAATCTAAACTTCACCTCCTCTTAGTTTCAACATATGCATTTTTTTTCACTTTGTTCAGACAAAAGCTGACTTTGATCGAAACTGAAGCCAACCAGGAAAGAGTTCCAGAGTTTCTGCTGAAAAACCATGGGAATCTTCATTATGAGTTTCCAGAAGACCTGCCCCAGATGGCTACGCACCTCATAAACACACAGAGTCCAGAGTTGAGGGTAAGATTTTTCACAGTGGAAAATGATATTATGTCCAGTTGATTGACACAAATACTCAAAAAGACAATGCCACATGTTACTTTCATGCTGTTTATCTTCTAGATTGTGGAAACTTTAGAGCAGTTAATCCATCATAATTGGCTGCAAGTCTACAAAGAAATTCCAGCGAAGTTCCTGGAACTTGTTGAACTTTGTCGAGCAGCGACTCAGGAAGATCTTGCATCTGTTTGGAAGCAATTTGCAAACAGGCGACCATACCGGTAATTGCTCTTCTTCCTGTTTCAAACTCTGTTTCTAGACAGCAGAGTTTGGGCTTTCAATATAATCCTCTCTGAGCACATATTTCAGATCCTGTGGGGGCCTCATTTGGGTCACTGGGGGCTCTGTATGTCCTATGAGCTGTACTTTGCCCACACTTAGTGCATATTCTAGGCTGTTTAGATGGCAGTTCCAAGCAACCCACTGTCCATCACAGATGGAAAATGGGAGTCCAGGTCAGGCATTGGTGGTGAGCCCTGGCAGCTGCTCAAAGAATGACATTTTTCAGAAGCAACAAAAGATAACGGACTAACTTTCCTTAACATGGTGTTGTCTGAATGCATTGCTCTATAACTTCTGTGAGAGACGATGAGAGTTGTAGTCCAACAGATCTGCAGATCAGCGGGTTGGAGAACCCTGTCTAAAGAGTTTCCCTAACCCCTAGGCATTGGCTACTGAGCGCAGTGACTGCGGCAGGGACTAGAAGCACATTTCTGTTCCTGAAGCAAGGAATTCACAATGAAGACTTTGGTATCTTGGAGTCAACGATAACTCTTACCTTGGCTTTGCATTTAACAAAAACGGACAAGGTTACCTTGGAAGCAGCAGCAGTGAGTGCATTGTTTAATGGTCTCCTTTGACATCCTTTTCTGATCCCTTTTCTTTCTTCTGTGTTGTTTTAAAGTCAGCAAAAATACTAGTCACATGTTATCACATCTCTGAGCTAAAAATGCAAAGTGAAGCTTTGGGCCTGCAGACATTGGGAGAAAATGGAAGTCTCCAGTGCCAAATCATGGGGTGTCTTTTGCTGGTCCAGCACTCTTTCAAGCAGGTAGGGAGTGGAGTTTCATTGAGTTGCCACATCTGGAACTAAGAGGTACCGTGGCAGTCTCCACATTCGTTGTCACTGCTGTAACAGCTCACTGCCCTAGACACTGGTAAAAATGCCCTGCCATCTTCCTGGCCCATTCAGTTCTATTAGAGCCTCTTGAATGTTGTGAGCTGTGTGGCTACCCTCCATTACAACCATGTTCAACAGGGCCCATATGTATCCTGCCCTTGTGTGTTGCCCTATGTCTGAGGCCACCACCTCCCACCAGTGTCTTGTCAGGGAAAGATAAGCTTGTACTGCACCCTGGCTACTCCAGATGCCACTTGTAAAATATACCACCTGTGCCCTGGCCAACTGCTGCTGTACCAATTGCCAGACATCTCAATATAAATCTGCAGCTAAGGGTCAATCAGGATGGCAATTGGTCATAAGGTGCCAGTTCTTCCAAAAACCTATGGAAACCACTGTTCTCCACCAGAGAACACTGGGCTATCACTTCCCTGAAGGGACAAGTAATCCTGGCAATTTTACATTGCCGAAGGCCTTTTCCATCATCCCTCCAGGCTTCCCCAGGATAGCCTGGAACTGTTTCTTCAGATACGGGTCTGGCATCTGCCACCTCACCACCCCACCTTTAGTTCATGCGATTTTCTCATTTACCTCCCTCTTTCTTTAAGCTGGTGGCTCAACCTCTGCCCTCTGATGACACTCTTCACAATAAGGAAGCCAATTGCCCCCACAGTACCCACTTCATTTGCCAGCAGCAATGCCCTGGGCTGAGTCTCCAGGTGGCTGAGCATGCTACTACTATTGGAGACAGAGCCCAAGTCATGCCCACACTTGAGAATTTTCTCATTTACCTCCCTCTTTCTTTAGGCTGGTGGCTCTACCTCTGCCCTCTGATGACACTCTTCACAATAAGGAAGCCAATTGCCCCCACAGTAGCCACTTCATTTGCCAGCAGCAATGCCCTGGGCTGAGTCTCCAGGTGGCTGAGCATGCTACTACTATTGGAGACAGAGCCCAAGTCATGCCCACACTTGAGCACCTCCTTGCAGTGTGTGCACTCAGTCATGCAAAGATAGGTTGCACACTGTTGAAAGTGTTTCCAGAATACTGACTTCTCAGGAGCTTCAGTTTTTGATTGCAGGTTCCTAAAAGGAATTGCTAGGTTGTCATCACTATTAGCTCCAGCAACTGACGGGGCAACTGCAGCTGAAGTGGCAACGGTGATTTCAGTGTCATGTGCTGTGATGCACCAGACTCCCTAAAGGGCTGCCTGGCATTTAGTCAGAGAGTTTGATAGGCCACTTACCTACCACCTTTGTGCTGGGACAAGTCCTAGGACCGCAGCAGTGCATAACGTAAGCCCTTTGAACAAGTCTAACCTTATAAGAACACTTTACTTTTACTCAGTTCTTTGCAAGTACAGACACACGGGTTTTGTGATTCCTTAGAACTCACAACAGCTCAGTTAGGTAGGATTTTTAAAAGATAGCTAGTTTGTGGCCCTCCCAACCTCCTGGATTTAGCCAGACCCTGCTGTTCAAGAGACCAGTCCTTTTATACAATGTTTATATTTAATTTTTATTAGAAAAACAGAGTTTCATTAGAATCAGTTTATATTGCACAAGCATTAGCATAAACAACATATTCAAAGATCATTGCAGTTAAATAAAATAACTATTTCCCATTAAAATAATAAAACTACTAATCTAGGTTAAGATGGGCTATAGTGGGCTAGCCTCCCCTCCTTCTTTCTCCTTTACTTATAAACTCCTCTCCTTCAAGTGACATGCTCATACCATCATCATGGAAACGAAATCCAGAACAGAATAGAACTGAATCCCATTCAGCATTCAGGTACTTTCACATAACCCATCATCCATTTTACTATACTCTCTAACTCCTCCCTTTTTCTTGACAATTCTGGCTGTTGACAATTCTGGCTCAAGAAGCTGTACCACCTTCCTCCTCTCCTTATTCCCATGAGAGTCCAGGTGTTGTTTATCTCTCCTCCAATTAGCTCGGAATGTTGAGTCTTCCATGGGCCTCTCAATTTGGCCTTCATTGCTAACTTGAACCAGGCTGTAATGGTCTTCAGGAAAAACACTCTCATGGCACTTAGAAAAACACATTCCAATGTCTCTCAAATAATTTTCACACAGAACCTGTCTGACTCCAGTTTACATTTCTCTGACTACATATCCCATCATCATGACACGTGCTTCGCAAGTAGTGCCCACTGGAGCCCCCCCGGTTTCTTCCTCCCCCATGTCAGGTGTGTATGCACTTGAAGGGGAGTCCCTACCAACCGCAATGCTACCTTCCACAGAAGAGATTTGCTGGGAACAGCGGCTGGGGCTAAACCCTTCCTTGAATATGATGGACCTGCATGGTATGGCCTCTAAAGTTTTTTCCCCACTTAAATGTTCTTGTTAAATTTTCTTCTGCAGAAGGAATGGTGGGATGTACATTGTTTTAAAGAAGCAAACCACTTCTTCTAGAAAATAGGTTATACTCGGAGCCCAGAAAAGTTAACATTTGTGGACATGATGACTGGAAGATTCTGGGAGTTGTGGTCCAAAAAAATTATCCTTTCCAATCTATGGGTTACACTGACCTTGATTTACTTTGACAGGATCTAATGACCTGCCCTGCAATCCAGAAGTCGCCAATCCTTCGCAAACTTACTTACTTAGGATTTGGTTCCATGGTAAATCGTCACTGTTCTGTCTCTTCACAATGTTCTGCTGAAATACTTCAGGTAAAAAACCAGAGTCTCCTAAAATGTGCCATGTTTTCCCTGTGAATTTGTATTTTCAGCTAAGGGGTTAATAATGCCATTATTGTGGCAGCAAAAGGGATACACATAATCCTGATTTACCCTGTCACTTTAATATATAGAATAGAATTTAGAGAACCACTGACCATACTTACATTTGGAGAACAGAATTTTTCGTAACAGGGGAGTCGGTACTGACCTTTAGCAGGACCAGAGTAAACTAGACATGGAAAACTGTTTTTAAACAACAGTCTAAGCCCGTGTCATGCTTGCTATCATATTCTGTGAGCTGTCATTCTAAAAAGACATTTCTGCTTTTGGAATAATCCGATAATGATCCTGAACATGCAAAACATGCACAGTGGCTGGCCATCTTGGTGATCTCAAATCTTGCAAAATGCATAAGTCTCATCTCACCAGAGCAGGGGTTAGGTCTCTAAAACTAGTCTGAAACAATTCTCTGGAGCACCAACAGATTTCAGCTCCTAATGAATGTAGTTAGCTCAATGACTTGACAGTGCCCACCCTTCCTGGTCACTAGCTATCAATTGGGAGACCACAGCCGCAATACAAGGACATCTGCAAGCGGGATCTGAAGGCCTTAGGAATCGACCTCAACAGATGGGATACCCTGACATCTGAGCATTCAGCCTGGAGGCAGGCGGTGCATCATGGTCTCTCCCAATTTGAAGAGACCCTTGTCCAGCAGGCCGAGGCAAAGAGGCAGCCACGAAAGCAGCAAAATCAGGGAGCTGGACAGGGGACAGATTGTAATTGTCTTCAGTGTGGAATGGATTGTCACTCTCGAATTGGCCTTCTCAGCCACACTAGACGCTGTTCCAAGTCCTCCATACAGAGCACATTACCATAGTCTTTCAAGACTGAAGGGTGCCTAATGAATGAAGCTATCAATGATGGGTTGTTTGTAATGCATAGTTTGGCCCTAATACTTAGGAGATTCAGGCTCAAGTTCCCAGTGAGCCATAAAAATCACTGGCTACCTTGAGCCAATCACTCTCTCTCAGCCTCTCTCAACTTCATGTGGTTATTTGAGAAGATAGTACGGAGAAGAAAATCCCTATAGGTCACCTTGAGGTCACTGGAAGAGGAGAGGGATATCACTAGAATGCATAATACATAAAAAATGCAGTTGGTTTCCTAGGAAATATTCCTATGAAAACGTGATTTAGTAACCTTGACTACTGGTTGTGTTTACAGCCTCTGCATGACCTTGCCATGGCAGCCGATGTAAGCCATGAAGAAGACATGAGCTTGGCTTTGAAAGCCATTGGCAATGCTGGAGAACCAGCCAGCCTCAACTACATCAAGAAGTTTCTGCCCGGGTTTTCACTTGCTGCTAAGTCTTTGCCGGAGAAATTGCAGATGAATGCAGTGCTGGCCTTGAGGAAAATAGCAAGGAAAAAAGCTACAACTGTAAGTAAAGTCATTCTTGAGCGAAAAAGTGGGACGTGGCAGGTAAAAAGCCTGACTGTGATCTTCGAAACCAAGCCTAGCCTGCTTGAAATGACCCAGTACCTGTAATTTTGCTTGGTAAAGAATCTAGTCCTCATCCTTCAGTGTTGTACAACCAAAGGTTTGTTTGCCAGTCTTTTTCAGCTGCCACTATTACCTTGCATTCTGATTAACTCTTTCTTGCATTCATTGGAATCATTCCATTCAGACTGTGATGATGGCATGCAAACTTTGACACTCTAAACTGTATTGAAAGAATCACATTTTAGTACAGTATAATACCAGCACTTTCTGCAACATAAATAGGGAATTTGTGGGCTTCCAGAAGTTATTGGTCCACAGCTCCCATAATTTCTAACCCTTTTCATTTTCCACGGGGACCTATGCAAGTTTCAACCCAACAACATCTAAAACACAACAGGTTGCTCACTTGTGTTCCACAAAATATTGCTATTATTATTATTATTATTAGTAGTAGTTTTATATGTATGCCGCATTTCTCCCGACAAAGGGACCCAAGGTGGTTCACAGCATTAAAATTCACATAACTAAAAACACAATTGTTAAATAATAAAAGACAAATTAAACAATATATAATTTAAAATAAAATTAGAAGATTAAAATATGAAAACATGGAAAAGATTAAATACTTACCGTGTTTCCCCAAAAATAAAACAGGGTCTTATATTAATTTTTGCTCCTAAAATGCAGTAGGGCTTATTTTTTTCATGCACAACAATTCACATTTATTCAAATATAGTCATTTCATCTTCTGGTTGCTGCACAATGGTGGAGGACGGTGTTTCACTTAACTGGGGCTTATTTTGGGGATAGGGCTTATATTATGAGCATCCTGAAAAAACATACTAGGGCTTATTTTCAGGTTAGGTCTTATTTTTGGGGAAACAGGGTAATTTTTGCATAAGAGACCATGTGTGATCTGTGCCATCAAGTCAAAATTAATTTATAGCAACCCTAATAGGGCTCTCAAGGTAAGTGAGGTACAGTGGTGTCTCACTAGACAGTTACCCCGCATGACAGTTTTTTCGCTAGACATTGGCTTTTTGCGATCGCTATAGCAATTCGCAAAACAATGATTCCAATGGGGGAATTTCACTGGACAATGTTTGGTCCCTGCTTCGCAAACCGATTTTCGCTAGACGACTATTTTGACAGCTCCCTCTGTGCTCGCAAACAGGTGTTTTCGGGACCTAAGCTTCGCAAGACAGCGATTTAAACAGCTGATCGGTGGTTCGCAAAGCGGCTTCCCTATGGCCGATCTTCGCTAGACAACAACAATTCTTCCCCATTGGAACACATTAAACATGTTTCAATGCATTCCAATGGGGAAATGCTTTTCGTTAGACAATGATTTCACTAAGCAGCGATTTCAGTGGAATGGATTATCATCGTCTAGCGAGGCACCACTGTATTTAAGGTGTGGTTTAACAGTTCCACCCTCCCAGTGAGTTTTCATGGCCAAGTGGGAATTCAAACCCTTTTTTCCAGAGTCCTAGTCTATCACTCTATGCACTGCACCACACTTAGGGAATAGACCCCTAAGCTTAGCCATAGGAGATATTTTGTGGGGGTGCAAATTTTTATGGTGAAACCCTTTGGGTATCCAAGTTATTTGAAATGCACGGGACACATTTGTCATGACTTGACTCCCACTTATTTCAATGGGAAATGAATACACGTTAGTTTGGATTCAGCCCTTTCTCTACAGAATGTGTGTTGCATGCTGTCAATGCAGGAGTGACTCATAGCACACCTGCTAGGGCTTTCAAGGTAAATGAGATATTTAAGGAGTGGGTTTACCAGTTCTATACATGTACCTCAGAAAGTTTCCATGGTGAAGCAGGGATCTGAAATCAGCTCTTATCTACTACACCATACTGTGTACCATTCAGAATATATCTGTTAATATCTTAACTTACTGTACATTATATCTGTATTAATATGGCTAAGGCTGGCTGGATAGCTCAGTGGTTTATGATATTTGGCTGCAGAGCCAGAGATTCGGAGTTCAATTTCCCACAGTGCATCCTATGAATATAGCCAGCCTGTGTGGTCTTGGGTAAGCTACACAATCCCAGGACACCCCCAGAAGAAGGAATGGTAAACCACTTGTGAGTATTTTCTACCTAGAAAACCCTTAAAAGGGTTAGTATAAATCATAATCAACTTGACAACACATGATGATGATGATGGCCACAGTACAAAAGGTGTTGTTTAATTATTTTGCTTTGACACATTTTAATTTATCATTTCCTTCCTTGCCATATATCTTGGCTAACAACATAGGAAACTATCTAGATCAAGTCATATATCATATAATCTATAGTGGGGATATAAATTATCTTTTAAATATCATCCTTTTTTCACTTCCTGTGACTCCCTGTGTGAAGAAACATACCTTGCTTTAACAATTCACACATTTTCAAGTGTATTTCAGAGGAATAAAGTGTACTGGGAACATCTGTCTGAAATTAAGTGCAATCCCCAGTCTGTATAAACTAAGCAGAACCTAAGTAGGAATGTGAAAATGTCACCTTCCCAATTCTGTTGCTTTTCTTCAAATCCCTCCCGTATTTTCTTCCCAACTTCTTCTTTATCTTCCTCATCTTCTTTTGGTATTGGGTTGTGAAATATTTTTAAAATTCCCATACTTGTTTATATGTATTTTCCCCTGACATATGCATATTTGTTTTTATATTTCATCTTTGTTCATTTGCCTCACTGTCTGTTCCTCAGTCACCCTCTTATCCAAGAAATTGTTAATGCCTTGTTATAAATCCTCAGTTGGACCTAGGGCCATGCATAAGTTCCCTGACACAGTTTTGAGTACAATTCAACACTTTATGGTGGATCCTGATTCAAGCTGAACTGATTTGCACCCCATTTGATTTGCTTTCTGCCTTTGATACAAACTGATTTGTAAATTCATATTGGCAACTTCCCATTTACTTGAACTGGAAAACCAAAACAGCTATAACATTTTGCTTTTTGCACTGATTTACAAGCAATTAAGTGACCTGAATTTTGCTTTTTGCATTGATTTATATGCAATTCAGTGACCAGAAGAGCAGGGTAAATCTACCAATTTTCAGACAGCTAGCTTTAGACATTTGCATATGAGGCACCTTTAAAATTTGCTTTTTTTAAAAAAATGCAGTTCTGAGAAAGCAATTGCACTCAGTTGAGTGCTTGGTATTGCCCTCATGCACATGCAATCACACATAGCCATAGCCACACACAATAAAAAATGGAGAGAACAAATCACACACCTAACAAAAATCAGGGCCAATGGGGTAGAGTGGGAATACATTCCACTGTCTAAAATGCACACAGGTGCAGAAGCAATAATTAAGTTATTAAACACAGACTTGGGATCAAATAATTATTATATGCTATCAAGTCAATTCCAATTAATGTGAACCTTTTCCAGGGTTTCCTAGGTATATTCAGAAGTTGCTTACCTTTCCCTTCTTCTGGAGGTATCTTGAGACTGTGTCGTCTGTCCAAGAATTCGCAGGCTGGCTCTTCCCCCTGGAGGCACTGTGAGGAATCACACTTTCCCTCTCTGGCTCAAAAGCCAAGAACCCAACTCATTGAACTAGGATGAGGAGAAACTATTCTAATTCAGGAGACAAAACAAAGGGAAATGAAGTGCGACAGGGCAATCAACAACACACATCAGTTCTGTGATTTGCTAAGTACTGGATTTCAGTGTGAAGTGAAGGAAGGGCTGTGTGAGATCATTCACAATATAACCTCAGGGGGGTCACTCAGTCCGTCCCTTCCTCAAGCCCTGTGATTGAAGAGTGGTAGTGAAATTCTTCAGTCAGAACATCAATCAAAGATGTCAGTGAGCAAAAGCCTGTTCTTTTCCTTTCCTTCCCAATCGCGCCACCATCTCAGGTTCATGGATACCTTGCTCATAGTCTGTATTTCTGAACTCGTTTTAGACATCCAAATTGGTGAATCAGCCTGGATCATTTTGCTTCACCCCAGAATCATATCTAACCATTCTGCTTTGATCTGGAACTCATACAAATGGATTCAAATTGGACCCATATAATTTGTGATTTGGCCAAAAAGGATATGTGGCTATATTTTAAATACTTCTATCATTTTTAAATAGCCTGTGTTGAAGTCCACAATTCCATGCCTTAGGGTTTAATATTATTTATATTCATGTTAAATATAAAAGAACTTGTCATTATAGAGACAGATGCTCTCCAGTTTTAACTCATAATTACTGCTTTACTTGTGCCATTATCTTGTATTATAAGGGAGCTCAGGATTGCAGCGTGGTAAGGCTTCACATACCTTTTAATGCTTTTTTGATATTGCAATAATTTGTTATTTAGTTTTCAACTTTGTTTTTTTAATACTGTAAATCACCTTGGATCCATAAGGGGAAAGGCACATACGTATTTAAAATAAAATAATAAATAAATAAATAACTAGCTTACAGCTATTGTTTTAAGTCAAATGGGAAGGAGGGGTCTGACATCTGTTCTTCCCATTTTACCTTGATCTTGTTGTATCCTCTTCATCTCAACCATCTGATGAATTGTCTGCTGAATTTTTCCAAATTTGGAATTTGGCACCTGGTTTGGAAAAGGTTCACCACTTCTGGCTCACAGCCTTCTGTGTTTATTATTTCAGTTTAAATGGGTCAAAGATTTGAATCAGTGTAAGGTAGCTTCCTATATTTACCATTTTACTCATGGAATTTTGCTGTCTCTTTCTCTCTAGGTAAGGAAAATGGTTTTTCAGATCATGGCGAACGATACTATCTCTCCGCAAGTCCGAATGGTAGCTTGCATTGTTTTCTTCGAAACCAAGCCTAGCCTTCTTCTAGTGACAGCCGCAGCTAGTGTTGCACAAAGGGACAGCAGCTTACAATTTGCCAGTTTTGTGACTTCCCACATGAAGGCTTTGGCTATGGGCAGGATTCCGCAGCTCGAATATCTGTAAGTGAAAAGAGAGGGAGGACTTAGAAATGGACCCAGCAGCCAAGACAATGCCAAGAGAACTGCACGGTTGCACTCACTCTTATGATTGGCCATCCTAGCCATCCACAAGTCACTGACGCATAAAGGAGTCCCTGGGAAAACATCTAAGGTGTTTTTGTTTGTTTTGTTGCTAAACTCTAGCCCTTCCCCTCTCCATAAACCATGCCAAAGTCCCACAGAATCCCTATCTTCATTACACTATCTTTGATCAGGGCAGTGCCAGTCTTACTGTTAGGCATGCTAAAATGTTCACCTCAGGTGAAGAATGCTGGAAGGTGGGGAGCAATGGTATGCTGCTGAAGGATGCAGTTGTGTCTGCCACACAAAGGGCTAGGATCCAGGTATTTTTGTTTCCAAGCCAAAGCAGTTAATGGCAATCTCCACCCTCTTACGTCAAGATACATAATACCCACAAGCAGCAACAATATTTGGGCTGACATGGCAGCAGAAAATTTCCACACATCTTTCCCCCTGCATGGTAATAAAAATATATTAGTAACATTTTTAAAAATTAGAATTTCCTGCCCTTTTACAACACATTAGGACCAGCTCTAACTACCTTGTCTGCCCTATGCAAGTGGCTGCCTTCAAATGTGGTAGAAAACTTTATCCTATCAGCAGAATTGAAGGAATATTTCACTGTCTCTCCATTTTATATGTGGAATGAGTGTGCACAAAATACTGTTCTTGTCATCAGGCAGAAAAAATGTCTTGAGCACCTCCATTTTAAATACAATATAAAGCAATTAGGGTTACTAGCATTGTTTCTGGAATTCCTTCACCTTTTTCCTACAGGTCTGCTGCTTGCAATATAGCCCTTAAGATGCTTAGTCGGAGGCTAGAGGACCTGGGCTTCCGTTACAGCAAGGTTTTCCACAGTGACACGTACATTTGTAAGTAACAGAGTGGCTGCAGAATTCATTTACCTGAGCTTCTAGTTTTGCTGAATGCAGTGGGGCAGGGGGGAGTCCACATGTTACAAATTAGATACTGCTTCCCAGGGACTGTAAAGGTAAAGGTTCCCCTTGACAATTTTTGTCCAGTCGTGTTCGGCTCTAGGGGGTGGTGCTCATCCCCGTTTCCAAGCCATAGAGCCAGCGTTTGTCCGAAGACAATCTTCTGTGGTCACATGGCCAGTGCGACTTAGACACGGAATGCTGTTACCTTCCCACCGAGGTGGTCCCTATTTATCTACTTGCATTTGCATGCTTTCGAACCGCTAGGTTGGTGGGAGCTGGGACAAGTGACAGGCGCTCACTCCCTCACATGGATTCGATCTTACGACTGCTTGGTCTTCTGACCCTGCAGCACAGGCTTCTGCGGTTTAGCCAACAGCACCATCATATCCCTAGGACTACAGACCAGGGACTGTATCTCACACTAGTTTGGTAACATGTTAATAAGATAAACTTATTAGAGAAAGGAGGATTACCTGCCAAGTCCCCACCTGTGTGAAAGCCAAAAGCTCATGTGGGAGTTTCTGATATTCCTTAATGTTGCCCCTTCCAGCTTTCTGCCCATCCCCTTCCTGTCCATTGATTCCTATTGTCAAAACAGCCATCTGTGGCTTCTTCCTCTTAACAGCATCAGCTGTCCTCAAGCAGGTCTTCGTGTCTCAAGCAGACCCTCCTGTCTCTTCCACTGCTCTTTATGTTGGGAGCTGTCTCCTGGACAGGTCATTTTTTCCTAGGTCCTTCAAATTTCTCCTCAAAAATCTGATTTTTATAAAGCAAAATCTTCCATAAAATCCATTAGGCCCCATACTTACTATAATTAGGGGTTGAATCACATGTTATGGGAATATCATATTTTTACATTTTTCCCTCTAGGCATCCAATTCTTTCAACTGGATTTGCAAAGGAAGCCCATCTTTATTGCCCGATGACCAGCCATAAAACAAAAGCAAAGTAAATTGCGAGTTGTAGATTAGGGTAAGCTAGTGCTCGGTTAGACAGAGGCACCATTTTCCTTTTAAGGAAGCTCTGCTTCTAAAGATGTGCTAACTGAATGGACCAATTTGGTCCTATCTCTAACAATGGCTCAGGTGTAGACTTGCTCTTTCTGCAATGCCCAGCATCACTCACAGGCAGTTACAGAGGGTCTCCCAATCTTCTGGAGCAGAGAGAAGGGCCTATTGCTAAACGTCTCCTCTTCCTTTTCCAGTGGGAGCAGCCCATAAGTGACATTTTCCTCATGGGATGTAGGCCTCAGTATACAGCAGTGCAATTAGAAAGTTTTAGACTCATATGGCCTGTGGAGAATGCTTTTAAAATAGTTCTGCATGTTATTTCAATTAGTCTCACCTGCCTCATGTCTTTCTTTGGCTCTCATGGAGTCCCGGAGCAGAAAATTGGCCCGTAGATCTTGATATTTTATTTCTCCCAAGCATTTCTGTATTCTTTAACTGAAAATTTTCTGTCAGCAACTTAAAAAGATCAGAAGTAAAATGGTCTCTGTTTTGCTTACATTCTAAAAAACAAGATGCATGAGGAAAACACGATGGATAGGAAAGAGGAAAAGCATAAGTTCAGGTTCAAACTTTTGCATCTACAGTTCTTATAAAAAAGAAACCAGGAAGGGAATAGTTCCCATAACCCAACAATACACCTACTGCATGTGCAAGAGATATATTTGTCCAGCAAAAAATATTGATTTTATTTTTATTCTGACTATAGTGGACTGGAGGGTTGGTGCACTTGGAAGGCTCTATGTGATGAACAGCCCAAGAACCCTGTTCCAAGCTCTCATTGCAAAACTAAGAGGCTTCTACGCTAGGTCTGCAATGGATATTGTAGAGGTAGATATTTATCACTGTGAAATAACCCTAATTGTGTGGTAAGTTATTTTACAATAAAAGTTTTAGAGGAGAATGTTCATTTTTAATTTTATCAACATGTAGATTTTTTTAAATGTTCAAGGCCCTCAGCTTGCTATCAGGATAAACATCCCACCTACTTAATTTAGATGTCTTAATAAGTTATACAGACAAACCTCATTGGTCCTTTGAGCATTAAACTCCAACAGAAATCAAAGCACACTACAAATCTACACAAGTCTTCCCAGTTCTCTTATTCTTGCTAATAAGACAAGTAGATGCAATGTATTGAGATACATTTCTATATCACGGCATTACTTTCTGACCAACCCAGATTGGGTCATGGTATAAAGCAGGTGCAATTAATCAAAATTAAATGTGATCTGGGACTTCACTGATCACTTTCTCTCCAATTCACAGCCACATGTGGTTATGCTTTGTAGATCAGAAAAGTGGGGGTAGGAAAGAGAATTTCAGCTAATCCCAGTCACACCATTTTATTGTTTCTGCAGTTCATTCTGTCAATAGAATGACACCTTCCATTACATTAAAAAGTGGAATGCTAGCTGGTCACTTATTGCTGATTCATATGCT